CCCTAGAACCCCTAGCTAGCGCAGCCGGGTTTAAGTTAGGGTCCAGCGGAAGCGGAGAAAAAGAGCTACGGCTGATACCCAATCAAAGGGGAAGGAAGGTACTTAAACCCGGCCGAACCCCTAAACAACCAGGGCATCTAACTGCTCGCCCTGTCTTTTTGCTTGAGCCAAAGATCATCCGAACGGCTGGTCCTCTGAAGTGAAACAAGAAGCCTCTGAAGCTTACCTCTGGTTAGGCTCTGTTGGGGTTTCTGGGGTCGTGTTCTGTTGACTAATGTTGTATCCCCTGGACTTCCTCGCTGTCCTGTATATCCCATATGGCTAGGGCCGCCTCACCATCTCATTGTCGCTGTCACCAAGTCACCATTGCACAGTTCATGTCACTCCTTTCGCTTAGGCCATTTCACCGATTCACCATTGCACCATTTCACCCTTCCTGTCCCCCTCACCAACTCTTCAGCGTTCAGTTAGTCCTCCTCGCCTCATAGGACCAAGCAGTTGGTGAAATGTAAATGGGTGAAATTGGGAAATTGGTTGATGGAGGCAGGACCGAGCTACTGGGTGAAATGGCGAATTGCGTTGGTGAGATGGTTGTGTTTATTCTTTTTGGAGGGGAGGGGGGGGGGCGTAACTTCGGCTCTTCGGCTTTGACATGAATGGTCAAATGGTGAGTTGGTGAAATGAAGGTGGTTTGGGTACCGAACCATTCAGGATCAAACTGGCTGGTACGCGAATGCTTCATCACTACTCAAAGCCTTTTCGAGAATTGAACCGTTCCAGGAAGAATGCAGCTGCAATGCAGTGAAGCAAGGATCAGGAGAGTAGAAGTTCTTAGGTGTCCGGCATTTATTTTGTTTCTTTGAGGAACGACACGGTGTTTTGTCGAAGCATAATTCGCATATTCCCGCGACCACGCATATTCCCGCGACTCTAGCGGGAAAGGCCATGCGGCATAATGTTTCATAGCGTTTCGGCCGATACAACACATGGGGTTTGCAGAGAGAGACGGCAATGTATGTACAAGTTTAGCGAACAGGCTTTTACATGGCACTCACCCCAGAAGCGTCGTTCAGAATTATAAGTGCTACCAGTAGGACATTGGAATATGAAGGTACACAGAAAGTCCGTGTTTGGCGTTACACGACTTGGTTAGGTTTCGCCACGTGGTACGTACATGTGTTGCGCCGATATTTCCAACATCATTATAGTAGAGTAGACGGTGCGTGCGCTTTCCAACTCGCTTGTCACTGGGCTAAGGCTATGGCGTCCTTGCACTTGTCGATGGGTGAGCATGGTGTGTGAACTCCGGCTCAGGTATTAGAGCAGTCCCAACATTCTAGCAAATGGGGTTGCCAGGGCACAGGGTATTTGAAAATACGTGTGTGTGTGTATGTATGTATGTATGTATGTATGTATGTATATATATGCAACATTATATGCGGATAAACAGGTAAGTTCTGGGAACCCCCACGCCTTATGCGCTTCGGTCCCGAGATAATTTATAGACGCTGCCTCGGTTTGTAAACTCAGCATGGGCTTCAAAACCAGTTGCTGGTTCCACAATCAATAGTACAGCAATGTAAAGCCGTGCAGAAATGCAAGGAGGGTGATATCACGCCGCCCATATTTATATTCATCGTCATCTTGATGTTTCCATGTATATTCATGCTTGTATATGCATATACATAGGTGTGTGTATACGTACAGGTATGCATGTATGTTTCTGTGTATGCTATCATGCTTGCATGCAATATGATTATGTACATATGCATGCATGCATCATACGTGTCCGTCTGTTTGTTTGCATGCAGTAAGTGTTCATGCGTGTGTATGTGACTGTGTGTATATGTATACGTGCATGCATGTATGTATGTAAGTGCGTGTGTATGGTTCCAGTATGTTTTTGTTGGAGGTTTGCCCGCTGGACAACGGAGAGTGGGAATTCCAGAAGTACGGCAGGCTGCTGTCGAGGAGATGTCTGCCTGCATCTTCACAGCATCATCACCTGACAGGTGATCAGCTTGTGACTTAATGGGCCAAATTCGGATGATGGCTGTCTTTTGCAGTTGACAGCGAAACACCACAAAGATCGTGACTGCAGCTTGCTTGTTGCAGCTGGCCTGCCGGCAAGAGAAACGTGCCACGACACGAATGTATTTTGTTGACCATCCCCGGTTCCTTGGTACTTACAGAATGATCAACGTCCAACAGGCCTCGAAAGTAGATAGGGATGAAATCGTGACGCCAGTCGCAAGCGCTGGAAGTCCACCAGAGCGTGCAACACCTGGACCTGCTGAAAACTGATGCGAGAGGCGCGAGGATCAAGGTGCGATGCTGTAGCCTGAACTAGTGCTCACGGTTCGCTTTTCTCTCCGCAGCTTTCGGGCCAAAGGAAGAAATCGAAGCCTCGTGAGGTCAGGGCTCCGCCTCCACCCACTTCCTATCTTTGCTCTTGAAGTTGTGAGCCAAAGCAAGTACAAGTTTCCTCGTGCCTGAGGAGGCAACTCAGCCTGTACTCGACGCCAGAATTAACAGAACATGATCGGGCAGCGCGATGCTACGGCCCTTCGTCGCCCCTGCTGCATCCCGTGGGCTCTGCCTTGGCTTGCGACTCCGCTGCCTTTCGATTCTTGGAGGCCGCAGAGCCTTTGGGGTGGGGGTTCCTTTTGGGTATTTCTTTGGTGTTTTTTTGGTATGTTTTTGGTTTTCGCCTGAATAGCTTCAAGCGCCGAGTCAGTCAGGCGGTCAGTCGATCCGCGAGCCTGCTGGGCAGTCAGTCATTCAGTCCGTCAGTGCCAGTCAGTCGGTGCGTCGGTCGGTACGCGAGCATGCCGGTCTGTCAGTCAGTCGGGCGGTCGGTCGGTTGGTCCATGCGCCAAGCGCCGGGCAGTCAGTCAGTCGGATAGTCGGTCAGTCGGTCCGCCGCCAGTGTTTGAGATACATGATTGATGAACCGATATCGCCAAATGAGGGGGCATGTTTAAGATATAGAATGAACCGGAATCGCCAAATGATGGGGCTTGTTTAACATATGTGAGGAACCGTTATCTCCAAATGAGGGGGCATGTTCAAGATACATGATGAACCGGAATCGCCAAATGAAGGGGCGGCGTGTTTAAGATATGTGGTGAACCGAACTCGCCACATGAGGGTGCCTGTCCAAGACATATGGTGCGCCGGAATCGCCAAATGAGGGTTATGTTCAGCATGTATGCTGAATCGCCAAATGAGGGGGTGCGTTTATGATATATGATGAACCGTTGTCGCCAAATGGGGAGTGTTCAGGATATATGATGAACCGGAATCGCCAAATGACGGGGGCATGTTCAAGATGCACGGGACTCACCCAAATGAGGGGGCGGCGTGTTTAAGATATATGGCGAACCGGAACCGCCACATGAGGGGGCGTGTTTAAGATACATGGTGAGCCGGAATTGCCAAAAGAGGGGTGTGCTTAACATGTATGAGGAACCGGAATCTATATAGAATAAACCGGAATCGCCAGATGAGGGGGCATGTTTAACATGTATGAGGAGCCGGAATCGCAGAAGAGGGGTGGCGGGGTGTTTAAAACATATGGTGAACTGGAATCGCCAAATGACCCGGGGGGTGGCGTGTTTAAGATATATGATGAACCGGTGTCGCCAAACGAGGAGTCATGTTTAAGAGTTATAACAGTTATGATCAAATGAGGGGGTGTGTTTAGCATGTATGATGAGCCGATATCACCAAATGAGGGGGGCGTGTTTAAGATACAGGATGAACCGGAATTGTCAAATGAAGGAGCGTGTGCAACATATTACGGCATGAGCCGTTATCGCCAAATGAGGGGCCCTGTTTAAGAGAACAGGAATCACCAAATTACCGGGCGGCGTGTTTAAGATATGTGGTGACCCGAACTCGCCACATGAGGGCGCGTGTGATGAACCGTTGTCGCCAAATGAGGGGGCGTTTTCAAGATATATGATGAACCGGAATCGCCAAATGAAGGGGCGTGTAACAGATATGCTGAACCGAATCGTCAAACGAGGGTGGGTGTTCTGGATGTGATGAGCCGCCAGTCCCCTTGGCATTGCGTTAGCAAATTGTTAGGAAATTGGGCGGGGGCTGCCCCCCCCCCGGCCCCCGACTTTTTAAGTTATGTGAACGTCGCACCGTCAAAAACGCTATTTCACCATCTGCGATTTCAAGTCAAGCACATAACTCGCATGAGGCCTTGCAAAGCCCGTCTAGAGGCCCAACTCTTCCGCTTTTTTTGGACCGCGCACTCTTTCGTTAAAGAACATCATGCCTTCAAAAGAACGTAAAGCCGAAAAGCCGAGACCTGAACTGGCACGGGAAGCAGCCGGGTAGACTGGCGGGTGTCGGCCCGTCGGATTTACAGACATGAGTGACCGATCGATAGCCGAAGACCCGTAGGCCGAGAACCATTAAAAAATCACCAAAAAAGACCTCGAATACCGCCTCAGTTGTCGCCATCCCGGTGGCTCTTGCAAGTTTTGTATATGGATCGAACCGAAAGCCAAAAACATACCCATAAAAAACAGGAAAAAGCAAAAACAAAAAAGCTGGACCCGGGCCTTTGGAGAGCTATCCAAGATGTGAATTGCCAGGCCGGGCCTTCAGCGAAAGCAGGGAGGAGGTGAGGGAGCTGGATCCCCATGGGCCCAAGGGTACTCCCAAGGGCCTCACAGAATCGACGCCGAGTACCAGGACTGGCACAAGAGATGAAATCAAATAGACAGGTCTTGCCTTCCTTGTCCTTTTCAGTAGCGCCATTACATCCTTCACTGGGGGCTTGCCAGCGAGCCGCGACTTTGATTTGCGGCAATCCTTCAGAAAGTTTCCTTTACACCGAGATGTACAGCTGCTTGGCCAGTGATCTTGCATTCTGTCTAAAGCCCGTAACAGATGCAACATGCAACTAGACGGATGCCGCAGTTGGAAAGGCTTGGATTGATGAAGATGGGAGTGTCTGCAGACTCCTGAGAAGTTTCAATTCTTCATCTGTTGAAGTCTTGCGTTTGTCTCGGCTTGCCTAGGTTCCAACGCGTGTACAGGATCTGACGATGCCAATGCTGATGGACACCCGGCTGGAAAGCACAGGTATGGTTTCCGCTAGTGCCTTTCCCATTGGTTCCTGAACCAAAGACTGGTGCGTCCTCGCAAAGGAAGGTGTGTCGACATTCATTCTGGCACAGACCGGCACGGGCAAAACTTTGGCCTACGTGTTGCCACTTGTGCATAAGCTGCTCTCCACGAACGCGGAAGGCTCCTCGATGCCCGCATCCATGAAGCACGCCTGAGCGCGACTCGACACAATGAGCTTGCAGGTTTCTTCCCAAAGAGCCGAAAGCCGAGAGCCATCATCGTGCAGCCAACTCGTGAACTGGCTCTGCAGACCATCAAGGTGGTCCGGAACTTCCCAGTGAGGTGCGATCCCTCTAGGTCCGCGAAGCACTGCAGATTCTCCTGCTCGTGAAACTCGAAGAGGTCTGTGGTGTGTGCTCCCAGTTGCTCCTTCGTCAAGGAATTGAGTGTAGCCGCAAGCCCTGCTCGTGCTTATGTCTTTGTTTCCGACAGATGCAAGGAGACCCAGGCGCTTTTTGCGGGAGTTGATGTGGTGGTGACAACGCCATTTCGCTTAATTCTTCACCTCGGGAAAGCTGACATGGTCTTGAACGAGGCACGGGAAAGGAAATGCGCAACCATCAAGTCCAGAGTTGCAGTCAAACCTGACAGGTCCGGCATGTGGTGTTCGATGAGGCAGACACGCTGTGCGACACCTTCTATGAGAAGGAAGTAGCATCCATCCCACTGTGGTTTGGTTTTGCAGAGCTGCATCAGATTGAACCTAGCTCACATCTGGCGAGGACACAAGCAAGCTGCTGAAAGGACTAGAGGAGGACTGTCCAACAAAGCCGCAGGCGACAAGAAGCAACAGTGTTTTTCGCTGGATGCAACAGAGGTCGTGAGCAGGACGAGACCTGTTCTCTGATGGGAGTATGGACGAAAGCCCGGCAATTTGGAAGCGTGCCAATGTTCAGGTGATCATTGTCGGTGCAACTCGCACTGGAGCCGTGTCTGCTTTCCTGCGCAAGCACATGAACAATACCCAGGCAGCTGGCTTGTCGATCTTCTTGGCCTGTCTCTGCATCGGGTGATCTAGGCGCCATGTGACCGTACCGCTCGGAAGGTCATGCCTGTGGTTACCACAGATGCCCACGTGCCACCACCACACCTGGAGCAGGCTCATGAAGCCTGTCATGCACAACAAGCATCAACGCATTGGCAAGGTGTTCGTCCCCACCCGCGGCAAGCGCTTGCTGTCAGTATTGTGGGACGTTCTTGGAGAGGCACGCTTCCTCATCGGGGCATAACTGTCGTCAGCGAAAGAATCCCAGATTCGAGATGCTTGTAACGGTGTGTATACATAGGACCCAAGGTTCCAACTGTCGGGAAGAAGACGCTGATCTTCACCAATCGTGCACCGACGTGCAAGGCAATGTGTTGGTGAACCAGTTCGTTTGCCAGGTTTGTTGAGCACAAGTGCATCGGATGAAGGCCGTACACAAAAGCCTCCTGGAACACGGCATGAATGCCGTTTGTTTGCACGGCAACGTTCACCCGGACAAGCGCAAGCAGGTCAAGCGGCCGGAATCCTCATTTTCAGCCTGGCATGGCAAAACTCAGACCCTTGATTACCCGGCGCCAGGCTTGGGATTCCTTTGCCGGCGGTGGCAAAGCTGATGTCATGGTGTGCACCAACCTGGCCTCAAGAGGGCTGGATTTCAGCAACGTGCACCATGTGCCCCGGCTCTCTCGGGTTGGCTGGACCGATGTCCCTACTGTACATTGCGGAATAGCTCATGATCTGTGGGCACGAGGTGGTGATGTATGACTTCCCGCTCAACATGGCAGACTACCTGCATCGGGTCGGGCGCACGGCCCGCGGAGGCCGTGCAGGAAGGGTGACTACCATCACCCCCCGACGCTACTGGCCGTTCGTGTCCAAAATACAGGAGGCGGGAGGTTAGCCTGTAGAGAAATCGGTGAGTCAGAGTACGGTGTCATGCTGTTGCACAACCTGGATCCACAAAGCCACACGAATTAGGTATAATTAAGTTCAACAGGATGTCTGAGTTTGCCCAGCAGGCGACAAAGCAAGGCAAGCCTATTGAAGTCCGGAACATGTCAAAGAAGGTGCCTTCTTGTCACTGCTGCCAGTGCTTCTGCTTGGTGAATGATCTCACAGTTGCCCAGGTGAAAAAGATTCTTGCAATCGAGAGTCTCAGCATCAACTGAATGCCTGTCGATCCCTGTTGTGAACAACAACCAGAACCAGCCCAGGAACTATCAGAAAGTTCTGCAGTCGCGGGACGTCAAAAAAAGTGTCAAGCAGAAGCTCAAGCAGCGGCTGGGCCTCCCACCTGCCAGAAACATCGGCTCCAAGGACTGCGTACCTTTCCTTCACAGGCCCTGGACGGCTCCGAATTGTTGCAAACTTTGTGTGTCAGGAGACCAAAGCTGCAATGAAGAGGCTTGACCGACGAATGAAAGCAATTAAGCACGTTCGTACCTTCGAGGCAATGGAAGATGCATCAGCCAACCGCTTCAAGTCAAGTGAACGACTGTCCGAGGCTACCTGTGGAAGCGTGGCATTCTAAAACGGGGCCACAAGATTCCACAGATGCCTGACAAGCAGGTCGAGGCAGGAACCGCCATGTCTTTTCAATATTTTCGTGTTCCAGGGCTGCACAAGTGGCAAGCTGGCTGTGTCAGGCTTCTGAGACGCAAACTGTGTCGACGCTTGTGCGAGCACGTGATGGCCTGCTCCAGGTGGGATGCAGAGGTATGCAGAGGTCAGGCGATCAATGGCGAGCACAGCGTCTCGAACAGCTGGAGGTTGTACCGAACCGACGCCGTCAAAATAGAGGCGCAGATCGACCGGAGAACGTCTGGCACACAGACAGACATCGTAACTTGCATGACGGATGCATCCATGAATTCATAATGTAAGCATGCATGGAGTCGGTGGGTACTCCACATAGTACTCCACAGGGAGAGCTTCGCATAGCTTCGCACCATGCATGGGTCATTGCACAGATTCGAGAGGTCTGGTGTTTCCTTTTTGCCTGTCTTTCGGTGCAGGACACAGCAGCTAAAATGAAGTGCTATGCTACACCGAGTTTTCCGTCAAGTCGTTGCGCATCAGGTAACAAGCTGTTGCGCTCTGTATACGTTCGATGGCCGAGGCTCCTCTGCAGCCTGTGCGCTTAAACTCCAATGAAGCACCAGCTGCTTCGAACCGGCGCCGGCGGACCGTGATGTAAACAAGTCCACAGACTGGTTACACGGCTGCAGAGCACGCCTGTCGAGTTCGAGCACAGCGAACATGCATCTTCTGGCAGCCGATATTTTGCCTCAAGGCGATGAGCGAGTCTAAAAGCAGTGCAACACAATGCTTTTTCTATCCCTCTAATTGTCCCTCTCGCGCATTCTGCAAATCTGCATGTGTCGGTACCACTAGCTGCAACGGTACACAAGCAGAACGCAAAGAGTCTTGCGGTGGGTTCCACCAGGAGAGATATTTCTTGAAGCATGACTGTTTTTGCCTCTGTGTCGGCTGTGCATCTGCATTCAGCACGGCCAAGTGCCAGCAAAGGCTCCCCTTTCGTCGCAGGCACCGCATCGCGCCCCCATTCCTTCCCATCGAAGGGTTTCTTGCGATCAGCACCGAGCACACTGGGACTCGCCATTGGAGCAGCACTTTGCAGGCACTGCCGTCCACACACATCGCTGAAAGTTGCAAGACGCGATCTTCTTGGCGCTGGAATCACATGGGTAGGCGGCGCCGAGCGTGCATTGGCTCGCTCAACTACAGCTCCAGAGATTGTGAAACGTCTTTGGGCCGGCGGTCTGAGCAGTGGAGAGGACTTAGATGCTTGGGTGGCCGCATTCGCTGCAGATTGTGTTTATGAAGACTTGTATTATGCACAGCCCGCAACCGGTCGGCAGGAGCTGAGAAGCCTGTCTGCATCAAGAGCTCTGAGCAAGTGCAAGTCCAAAACCGTGGTCCTCTGCAGTGCTTTTCTCTCCGCCACCTTAAAATATCGTAACACTAGCTCCCTGGCACAATAATGAAGCTGGGCACGGCCCTGTGTCAGTAGCACTTGTGCTCTCCTGCCTTCTCAGGAAGATTGCTACAAGAGAAGTTGCTGCCGAAGGGAGCTCGCATGATCCTGGACCACGTGTCCGATGGAAGATCCTCATGTGGCTTCACATGGCATATCCAGCAAGAGGGGGTCGGAACAGGCCAGCGAGGCCTCTGCTTTCTCCGCTTAAACTCAAGCGGCGAGGTTGCTTATGTGCGTGAGCTTGGCGAGCCGCTTTTCAAGGCCGGCGTGCTGACAGAGCAGTTGCTGCAGGCGCTCACAAAAGACCAGCCCAAGAAACTTCGAGCAGCGAGCTCCACCACGCAGACACCCACCACAGCTCCAGGCATCGTGAAGTACTTGTACGGCGATGTTCAAGAGAGCGGCGGCGATGCTGTTCGATTCTACGCGGATGATGTCGTCTACGAAGACATGAACTACGACACGCCATTTGTTGGGAAGACTGCTGTTGAGGGCTTTTTGAATCGATTCCAAGACATCGAAGGCGTCACCTTTGTACTTGAAGAAGTGTCAGATGGAGAGAAGGCAACGTCTTGCAACAAAGATATTCTCAGGAAGGAACTCTCCTCCAAGATATGGCAGTTGATGAACTGGTCTGCTGCCTTTTGACGTGCAGCTCTGCACCAGGCTGTGGGCTTCACTTATCACATAGATGTGGCAGGGCAGTCCCAATCTCAGTTGAAAGTCTATCTTTTGCCCCGTTCTGATTCTATTCACCTAAAACCTGCAGGCCGCGGGGCATCCGTGGTGTAACCTTCTACGAAATCGATGACCAGGGCAAGGCCTACGCCTAAAGAAGCACTGCAAATTCATAACAGCTCCACATGTGCAGGTTAAGTATGTGCGGGATGTTCCGGAATCGGCCACCAAGCCACCTCCAGTGCAGCAGGCGCCGAAGTCCGTCTTTGTGGTTGCTTGTGTTGCTGAAGTGTTTGCTAACTCCACGAGCTCATAACTGCATATGCTAGACATTGCAAGACAGGTGCCATTGCAAATGGAAGCCGTTTGATGGCCCAATGGACAAGCACCGACTCTGCCGCAGAATCACACGGACAGATAGCCTTCTTCTACCAAGCCTTGCGAGTAGATGTGTTGAACCACCCACCGTGGTAGAAGCCTCCATATCCAGTTACTGGTCATCTGCAGCAGTGCGGCGAACCAGTAATGGTGCAACGTGGTGCAACATGGCATAAATTTACTACAGATCCACTTTCGCACAGACTTGTAGTGCGATGCTGTAACCGCATCATGACGACAGAGAGCGGGATCTCACGTAGAAACTCGGATGAAGGCGAGCGGAATGCAAAGCCAGGTGTTGAAAGCAGGGAAATTCTCGACCAAGGAGATCTTTTGGTGCAGCAGCTCCTGGAGGAGCGCAGGCAACGACTGCAGCAGAAGCTCTTCGGAGCTCCTGGAGGCGCCTGGATGCCAAAGGACGGATAAAGACGGGCTGAGAAGCTGCCAAAAGGTGGCCTCGTAACGTCCACGGTCAAGGAATCCAGGCCGGAGCCTGCAGACCTTGTCTCGGAAGCGGGGCGTGGCGCGGTAGGATGTGTTCTCCCTCCTGGCTCGCTCTCTCGTGGGGCTGTCTCTCTCGCGCTCGCACCCCCTCCATCCCCCTCCTGTTGCAGTCCAAAGCGTCCTCTTGGCGATGCTGCTGCATCCTCATGCATCGGAGATGTTGCCGACACGGACATGAGAGCCACCTGCCAAGCCTTTCAGAAGCCATCGGAATTTGGCCGTAAGTTTATCGGGCTTGGGAACTCGTGGTGGTTTGAACATGTTGCCTTTGAATCCGGTCTGCTCCAAGCTCAGGATAGTTTCCTGGCGGACGTCTTGTTGCGGCTGACAGCAGCAGAGGACGCGCAGCCGAGCTGGGGCTCAGAGACCTCCTGCAAGCAGAATGCACGTAGGCACGTTGTAGTCGCAGCTTTGAGGCCAAGCATCCGGAAGTGCTGGGGTGAGCAGCAGGGCAGCGAGCGAAGCTCCCGCCAAGCTGTCCAGGCCCACAAGGCCCCACCAGACTTTGCATTCTTTTTCGCGAAGATGTTCCTTGAAGGCCGCGATCCGCGCCTGCAGCAAGGGCCGCTGGCCCCATTCTTCATTGTTCAACATGTTTTAGCCGTTGCTAGACTCGGTGACTTGCGATGGCGTGGTTCGATGCATCCCAGATTCCAGGCAAAGAGCACTAAAGACCAGAAACTTGGCAAAGCACACAGTGTCGAAGGAGCATCTTTCTGACTACATTTTCATGGGCTTCCTCTCGAAAGGCACGCAGCTCTCAGGCTTTCAGATTCATTGACAATGTAGGCCGCAACCTTGAACTTTTGGGCATTTGGAGCTGCCAGGCACTTTCCGCATCTTTTAGGCACCCATGGCTCGGTTGACTCAGTGTTAGCTAAGGACAGTCGACAGCATTGAAAGCCAAACAAGACAGATGTCCAGGCGAAGACCGAGTGGAGAGCGATCGCAGTCGCCAGGCATAAGATCATGACAACACTCGGTCGGCCAACGCCGGTTTTTCAATGTCGTGTTGAGTAACAACCATGTGAGAAGTAGCATGTTGAAGCGACGAACCATTGCAGAGCCTTCGGCCTCAATCTCGCTTAGCTTTCGTCTCCTGGCCTCCTGTTCACGCAACAACTTCCCACAAGGGCAAGCGTCGGTGCTGCAGATGGCCATAGATTATAGATTGTCATGGATGACGGACAGAGTGGCCATAAGGAAGTTCATGATGGGCCGTCGCAGGAGCAGCTGGAGAACTTCATGACCTGCCCGGCGACGGCACCGGCGGCGGCTGATACTCCGTGGCTGTGGTGAAAGTGCTGTCTCCTTTGCCAGCTGACATCGACGATGGTGGCGTGTGGCCTCCTATGGCCTCCTCCTTCGACGTTGGCAGCGACAGCTTCTGCAATGGCACCACGGACGACGTCATCAACATGGCGGCGACGCCCGCTTCGATGCCAAGGCAGCTCACAACGTCACCCCGGCGTCGACCAGGCACCGCCGGCGGCGCCTCGGCTCTGGACGGCCTTCCCTCACTCCTTCGCGACAAGAGACCAATCGGGTTCAGGAAGCGGCCGCCAACGGGATGAGTGTGGCAGATCGGCGGCAGCATCTGCACCAGTGCCCGAAGCGCCGCCGCAGGGGATAGCTAGTCCATGCTGGTCCGGGTTGCCGCGCGCGCCACTCTGCCGTAGATGGCTATGGTCGCTGCCGTGGCCACGGCACCAAGCACTGCGTGGGTGCTTGGGTGAGGAAGAACCTGCCGGCCAACTTTGATGCTTCAGCACTCTCGACCCGTGCCCTCGTCGGGCTTTGGCTCGCCGTCCGGCCTCATGCGGGTGGACGGCAACGCCCTGCAAGTAGCCGTCGTCCGGGTCGACGTCTCCGTCGTTGGCAAAGTCCCGAAAAAAGGCATTGGAGCCGCCAGTGACATATCAACCGTTATCTTTGGTCGGCGAACCTCGACATGACGGTTCTATGCGGACACTTTCGTTTGCGACGTTTTCGACGTGTCAGGCACAAGGCCAGGCACGTGCACGTCGGCGTGAAACCCAACGGCCGAACACAGCGCCTGCAAATGCTTGGGGATTCGACTTCAAACTCGGTGGCGAGGTCTTGACCACGGCATCGTGACAGCATGATTGGTCAATCTTTTCTCTGCGAGAAAGCCTTACACATTGGAGGTTTCCGCCAAGCCCGTCGCGTGGCTGCCCCCTACGATCGTCGCTTTTCTCGACAACATGGCAGGGCAGGCGGTGAACCGCATCATTTCGGCGTTTGGGCACTAGCGGTGCACCAAGGCTGGTTCGTCGAGTTTGACAGGGTGCCCTCCAAGGCCGAAACGCCGTGTACCCAAAGGCCATCCCGAAATCGGGTTTGTAGCCCCCTATGATGGATCATCGGCTCGAGAAGAGCGTTGACAGCGTTGGAACGAAATCGACGCCACCCTGGTGCGCTGCCCTGTCGACCACGTGCTGTCTTCGCGAAGCGGCCTCCGGTGAATTGAGCACGCCACGGCGGAAGCGGCATTGCTTGCGACGCTGAACCGGCGCGCTTGGGGGGGCTCGGTGCATTCGGCGGATGCAGAATGCGCACCGGCGCCGGTAAGTCGCTCCGGCGTGTTAGGTCGCCGAACGGCGTGATACAGCGCTACGATGCTACATCCAAGCGACTGAAAACAACAGTCGGAGGCAATACAGTTTTGGATAGGGGCGGGTCCAACGCACAACAGTTATCGTCGTGTGTGCACGTCAAGTAGATTGCCTGGAAGCTTCGGTTCATACTACTATTATAGTAAGCTTCCAAGGCCATTTGATCGGCGCCTCCATTTGTGGGAAGTGCAACACCAGGCAGGCCGTGACACAACAATCATGATTCCATGACTGCTCGCACCATGTGTCCATCGCCAGGCTGCAAAACAGAAGCACATGCAAGCAAGGCAAGAAAAGGAGATGCAAGAGCTGGATGAATGCACTTTTCAGCAGCTCGGCTCACCGAGCAATTGCAACTTGAGCGAAGCACCGCTGCTAGTGTTACTGATGCACCTGTGCTGATCTTTCAAGGCCATCCATAAATGCGCGCTCCGAGCCTTTCAGATGAAGTTTATCACACTCCATCGTTTGTTTTGCTGTTAAGACCCACACAGCCGCAATGCGTTTCGGTCGGAGTTGAACCGGGATTTGGGATGTGAATAGGCTGGTGGGAGCACTGCATCTCAAATTCTGGGCGCATCATGCAGGCACCTTGTCTAGCAAGCAAGTATGGATCGCGAAGCCCCTGCTTGCCCTAAGGTACTATGCCAGACGGTCTCGTAGCTGCTTCGTTGAGTCCCTGCCAGAACGTTTGTACCACGAGGCAGACGGGGTTAGCTCATCCAGATTTGCTTTGTCATGCATCCGAGGCCTCAAGACTGAGGTTACAGCCAAAAGCAATGAGACCAGATGAAGATTCGTGGCACATTCTCTGCCTCATGCCCTACGCCTTTCGTTCATGGCCCAGACCCTTGTTGATGCAGTCATCTGCCCTGGGACAATTGAACATAAGACACTCACAGGGCATGAAGTTCAGGTCTCTTGCGTGCTCAGTGAATCAAGAATCTTTCATGCCAACGTGTCATCGTGTAGCAGAGCAGACGGTAAGCAGGTTCATACCAAGACCAAAGCCTTCGCAGCTTGAACGCTCCATTGACCAAAGGCACGACATCCATGATCAAAAATGTCTTCTATGCAGGCTGACAAGCGGGCGAGCCTGAGGAACAAAGCCAAGGAGCACGGAGACAACATGAGACAACTTAGAAATTGTTGAGCAGAAGAACTATGTTTGAAAGGAGCTCATGGAGGCAGACGCCTTGTGCTCCTACACCTTCCAGCCCAACATCAACCCGAGCAGAGGCGCAAAAAAGTCGCAATCGTGGTGACCATGGGTGCGACATGTTCACGGCATGCTGTTGGCTTTTGTGAAGCCCGAAGGAGCCAATAGAGCGCCACTACACCTTCGAGCTGAGGAGCTTCGCCAAAGACGCGAGCAGAGAGCTCCTAGGATGGATTCTTCCGTGAGATCTTCAGCCTGCCTCCACTTCAACCGGCGCTGCGAGACGAGGTGCGCAGTGCGCAAATAGCCGAGGAGAGACGCAGCGCGCTCGGTCTGACGGTTCCACCACGCTGTGATTCCCCAGCCTGTTCTTGAAATTGTGGTCAGGGCATACTAGTAGCAGAGATTATTAGGGCCGCAGTAAGACGCGCGCCATATCACTCGTGCTCGAGAACACTCGGCATGGGAGTCAATGTGGTGACTACCGTTACTGCTGTTCTAGGGCATTGGTCCCGCATGCACTTGCACTGCTTACAGAGACCACTGTGTCACTGAGGCTCTGGCAGCTTGTTCCAGCCAAAGATCTCCAACCGCAGCGAGCGGATCGTTCAGAAGAAGCGTGACATGCTGTACAGGAGCGAACTTGCACACTTGGACGATGCTCCCCGCTGCAATCTACAGCAGGTGCGCATCACAGGGCCAGGTCGATTGCCTGAGGCAGCTTGGCCCTGTTGAGGAACGACTCTATGCCGAGGCACGGCCACAGAGAAAGAATGATCAAGTATAAGTGTGGTGCGACGATCCAGGCACACGAGAAAGAGCAGCGGCGTGCTGCACTGCAGGCTTACTACAGGGAATTTGGGGCTGCCCCTGCCTTCTCCTGCTGTTCTCCAGTGTTTGGTCCCCAGGACTTTCACCAAGAGTTGGTACAATCCTTCCCCAGCGTTGACGACACGTCGAGGCCCATATGCTTCTTGTCGGTGAGTGCTTTTGTCTTTGCAACAGTCCTGCGGCGACACAGCTGCTAACCGCAGTGCAGTGAACATCCCTGCCAGCCGTGCAGCTGCCCGAGCCGCCTCACACATCCTCGCTGCCTGCGTTCAGCCCTGTTCACCCAGAGCCATGGCCTCCGCCACACAGCCCAAGAGACCTGCCGGCGGCGCCTACGGGCAGTTCATGAACGAGAAGCGTGCCGA